CTGTCTATCCGCAAACGACAGACTGATAGCAGATCAGTCAGTAATAAACTAACTCGTCTCCACAAAGGCTGATCAGCTACTTGTGTTGCAGAAGTGGGACCGCTCTCGGAAGACTACCATGTTATTCAAGAAAGAATCTACTAGGTTGTTCAAAACTAATTGAACGATTCTTTCTACTTCTGTTCGGCAAACACGAGGTGCTATTAGAATTGAAATAATAGAATAAAAAAGAAAAGAATTTTTGTTATTAAAATTGGGACCGAGTTTCTCACCATCTGAACCCATTTCTAATGTTTACACGAACTTCAATATAGACTCCACAAAAAATCTAGGGATGAAGAGCAAAATAGGCGTGAACAACAAAGAGTAGGGGCAATGCCAGTACCACTATTTCCTCAACCGTTCTTTAGACAACAAGAACCCAATAATGAAGTTGATGTTAAATTTCGGATGTTTACGAATGAAACTTTCAAAGTCCTTAATCACTATTGCGCTAAGAGATACTGCTCCAACTTCACTGAAATACAAAAACGTGGTATGCGGGGGGTACGAGAGCTGATAAGATCGAAAAACAAGACTATCGGTTAGTGATAAGGGTGAAGAGTTCGTTGTAATTCCTTATCAGTTAGATGTTGAGATAACGGAAAAACACCTTGAAGATGCTTCCGTTTATCGTCCGTCGTCTGAGAAGGAATTTGAAAGTCAATACCGAAAGTTAAACAACGAATGGGTTAAAGTGGCAAAAGCGGCTGGGTTAAAACCATCAGTTTTCGCTCATCTAAAAATTGACTTACCAACATGTCCTGTCCTGTACTTACTTATTAAAACTCTTAAGTTAGTATCCAGCAATGATATAGTGTCTACCGATCCATTGTTATTTAAGGTTAGACCTATCACTAGCTGCGTGGAAGGGCCAACGGATAGAATAACGTGGTTAATAACCCTAATACTTACTCAGTTGTTGAAGTACATTCCAGCTCATCTAACGAACACCCAAATGTTCCTGGATCGTCTACGTAACGCGGAACCCAACAGCGCGTACGTAATGGGGTCCTTCGACGTCACCGCCTTCTATACAAACGTGTCGAACGACTCCACTATGCAAGCCATCTGTGGACTCCTTATACAACACGAAGGAGCAATAAACATGTATGGTTTCTCGATCCAGCAGTTGATGACACTCTTAAAGGAATGCTCAATCTTCAGATGGTTCGGGGGGTATTACGCACAAACGAGAGGGCTGGCAATGGGACAACGACTGGCACCAAGCCTTGCCATTGCATTCATGTCTTAGGTGGAAGCGCCAGCAATCGACCTCGGTCCGTTACTCTACTGTAGATATATAGATGACTGCTTGGTCATTTGTTCAACACAAGAAGAAATTGACAGATGTTTCAGACTAGATTGACAGAATTGACAGAGATTGACAGATTGACAGAATTGACAGAGTAGACCAACTCTTACCATTGCATTTATTTCTAAGGAGGGAGCACCACTAACCGTCCACCGGCCATCACTCTACTGTAGATATACAGATGACTGCTTTGTCATTTGCTCAACACAAGGGAAAATAGAAAAATGTTTCCAAGGAAAAATAGAAAAATGTTTCGAGTTGTTGGACGAACAGTCGGAGTATATTAGGTTTACCTGAGAGAAACCGAAAGAAAACTGGCTTCTATTTCTGAACATTCAAATTAACTTCTGTGAAAGCGGCTACGTTACGAAGTGGTACCGAAAGCCACAAGTAGCAAAAGCAGGTATGCTCATTACGTCTCCTTTCAGCCCTCTCACAAGAAAAGGGCGCTTATAGGAAACATGTTTCGAAAGGCCACCAGCGTGTGCACAGGAAGGGAGCGGAAGGAAGAATCCCGGAAACGTGAAATAAGGGCGGTAAATAGCCATTTCTAGTGGCTATGAAACTGTGGCCCCTCGGGATAGATGTAGAGGAAAGCCCATGCTCCACCCCACGAAACCCTAGGTATAACAAGGTCCCGTTTTCCCTGTCCTTCATCTCAAATAAAATAAGTACACCTATAACATATTGCTTAAGATGTGCCGGTCTAGAGAACTCGCTAAGAGTAACTGAAATACTACCGAGAACTCTGAGGAGCCAGTTAGTTCCTAACTGCATGTATGACTGCCAATGTGCAATGGAAAATTGCATAATTTGCCGCAACGGTAGAGTCGGTGATTGCATGAGTTCGGGTGCAGTTCATCTGATCTCCTGTAAGGAGTGCGGAGGAGAATATACTGGCGAAACTGATAGACCACTCTGAGTTCGCATAAAAGAACACCTAGTCGGTAAAAAATACTACGCACAGGAATCGAAAACACCAGCGGGCAAAATTCTGGGCCAATTTTAAGAATACGAAAATGGACCGTATGGAGTAACGCCTCATAATAAGGCGTGATAATGGATAGTAGTTAAGCCTGTTATTCTGATGGTAGGGGATATAGCGATTCCATGTGAACTCTGTGCGGTTGGTCCCCACGTAACATATTCACTGAAAGACATAGAAAGCGGTGAATTTGCGATGAAGCTATTCTGGCTATTTTGACCTTTCTGGGAGGTAGTGTTGATAAATTCAACAATGCGAGCACGGTTCCAGAAATTGCGAAGTAGTGATTTCGATCTCGAAGATAGGGAAAGCTGCTAAAGTCCCAATGAACTCGACAACGACTTTAAGGCACTAGAGGAAGCAAACAGGCGGACAACTGTTCGAGAGCTTGCAGAACAGCTTAGCGTAAGCACAGGAACAGTTTCCACCTATTGAATCGCATAGGAAAAGCAAAATAAGTAGACAAGTGGGTGCAACACGAATTAAACTATAATAAAAAAAAATCGCTGTTTTGAAGTGTCGTCTGCTCTTATTCTGCGCAACAGAAACTACTCGTTTCTTGATCGAATTGTGACCTGCGACGAGAGTTGGATTCTGTGGAACAACCGGCGACGTTTAGCTCAGTGGTTGAATTGCTATGAGGCTTCACAGCGCTTTCCAAAGTTGAAATTGCACCAAAAAAGGTTATGGTGACTGTTTGGTGGCCTGCTTCCGGGCTGACTCAACACAGCTTTTTAAATCTGGGCGAAACGATTACGGCAAAGAGATATTGCCAATAAATCGACAAAATGCACTGTAAACTCCAACAACAACGACCGGTATTAGTTAACAGAAAAGGACCATTTCTTCTCCACAACAATGCCAGGCCTCACATTGCAGAAGCAGCGCTGAAGAAGTTGAACGCGTTGGGCTACAAAATTTTGCCTCATCCACCATATTCATCAAACACGATGACGCAAAAACTCCAACGAATCCATCGCTTCCTGAACTCCAGAATTTTATGCAGCTGGAATAAATAAATTTGTTTCTCGTAGGCAAAAAAATATGCAGATATAAATGGTGTTTATTTTGATTAATAAAGTTTTGCTTGAAGCAAGTTAAGACTTTTTAAATAATATGGTTGAAAACGCTCATTTATTTCCGAACAAACTAATATATGTACTCCGACGCGGCTCCAGGCTAGCCAAGTCTCTCATCCCTGCGGGATCGGGAAATTCGTACCGGACTTAATCGGGAAAAAACCGCTTTCTTCAATGCAAGTGGAGAACGCTCTAGTCCGATTTATCTCACGATTCCAGGAAAAACCGACTCGACCGGAATTCTACAACATCCAAAATGAAATGAAAATCCTCAAGTAGCAGCCGAAGCCACCCGAAGAAGCTGGAAGACCTTTATAGGTGATGGGTGCAAGGAAACCAATCAAATGTAGGAAATGCTGGGATCCGCACACTAGATGTGAAAGATAGATCGTATCAAATAAAAACTTGTATATGTATATCACCTGTATCACCTATAGTCCCATTGATCGTAGAATGACACAAGGGGAAGTTAGTAAATCTTCCATTTTTTTCTGGAATTTCCACTTCTGCTCACATATGTTTTTTTTTCTAGACTCTTCTTTTACTTCCATCTAGTATATCCTGACATATCCTATGTACTTTGCGCTTAAATGTGAAGAGAAAAGAGAGTTGCGAAACAACAAGTAGGACATTTGATGATATAGGTGACTGTGATTACCAGTCTTCAGTTGTTGCCAAACTATCCAACAGTTCCAGAGTCACCATTTGCCAATGTAGGAGCTAGAGCTAGGACAAACGTTTCGCAAGAAGAATGCCGGTGATTGAATAATAAGCGTGGAAGCGTGGTATAATAAAACTTGGTAAGTATAAAAAGGATAATGCTCTCGGCGTTGACAAATCCTTAAGGGACGGGACATGCATTTAACCTCAGTAAGCGCCGTTGGAGGCAGGTGATTGAAGGCATGTCTGGCCTTTACAATGACTCAGTGGCCTACTGATGCGTCGAGCCAGTGCTGTTATCCTCTGAGACAAGTCTGGTGCCAATTTGTTGACCTTGGAAAGATGGAAAGCTTGATAGGCAAAGAGCACGGGAATCAATCTCACGTTGCATGACGCCTCCGACCAATGCGCCACATGCGCCCATTTGGTAAGTATAAGATTCGATTTCTTGGATTATTGGTGCGCATTACTGTGTTCAGTGAAGAAGATTTAGCCATTGTAAAAGTGTTGTACTACAGTAAGTAATCACTTTATTTTTGTTACAATATATAACAATCTCTGATAAATACTTATACTCAAGGATTGCATGATGTGGAAGTAATCATATTTACAAGTGGTACTGGTGAATGAGATGGGATGAATCCGAACTAGCCTAGAGACAGAGGGGGATGGGATACAGGGTAAGCAGAAGCCGTCGGCAATAAGGGGAACGACGACGGCAGCGGCGCTGCATCCTGACATTTGAGACAGTTACCCGTATGTTTACATTGCTGTATCAATGAGACACGATTACAGAACGAGAAGGGTAAGGAGGAGTAAACCGAGAATGAAAACACAGTAAAAGTAAAGCAAAAAAAGATTCGAAACCGAGTCCTAACACACGCGATTATGGGAACATAGACTGCATGAGAAGTGTCATATCCTAGTCGAATGAAACGACGACACATCGATAACTGGCATTGATTGTCGCGTCAGCAGCATTTGTTTCCGCTGAAAAGCAAAGGCTTTGATTTTTTACAGAAACGATTTCACAATGATTTTTGAAAAGCTTTCCTTTCCATTTTTAAGTATCGCCAAGGAAATCCATTGAAAATCAAAATTTTCATCCCAAGATGTGACTGGCATTTTGTTGTATCGCGGGTTTTCTTCTGCTATTAACGTCTTCAACGCAGTCCATTCCTGTTCGGTCTTCAGGTCATCTTCAAAAACCTGGACGTGGTACCCGTCTTCACACCACCAAACACTCAATTCCGTTTTTGCTATTTAGGATTCGATTTCATTAACATGCAAAACATTCGGTAATCGAGAAAGCAAGTGCAATGTTCGATTGAATTATCTAGAGAAAGAAGTATTCTAACAAATCTGCAACAACCTGCAGAAGACTTGCGCAGTTTGTTTGCATTAGTGTCATACAGATTCTTATCAAAACAAGCATCACAAAAGCGGAAGTGTACAAGGAGATCTTTGGGTACTGGGGAAACTACACTAGCTATCACTCCGACGTTTGCAATTTTGTGCCAGGCTGGTCTTGGAAGATCCTATCCTTTATCTTTAAATGAGATTTGGGTGCTAGTAAATGGAAGTATCAATCAACTTGAATGCCCTGGGTCCGTCAACTGAGATCGCCCATGCTTACTTTTCTCTTAATGCATGATTAAAGTGAAACGAAGCACAAAATCGCCCGATAAAGACAGCGCGCACTTCTTTTTTCTTGTGGCAACATGCGGCCTCTTCGTGGAATGCTCTATTTAACGATTTGCTGATTTGCTTCATGGAAAGCCGACGATGTGATAAGGCTCGCAGAGGTTTCTAATTCTTTTAATTGAAGGCCTAATATGGTTTTTATTTTCTAGGCGGCTTTTATTTCCATGTTTCCTTTGTGGATTTTCTTAACGAAACTAAAAATGAAAGTCGATTTAACAACACGGATGACCTGTTGTTGAATGCGGGCGCATCTTTAAAAGTCGACTTTTATTTAACCTGGGCGTAAATGGTCAATACTTCCTTGGATTATTGAAATAGCAGGAGGTTGATATAGAAGTATTTATTCGGCTAGCATTTCGATGTCTTCGTCTTATTCAGTGCCGGACCTAGCAGAGACGGTGGTCCACAGGTGGTCGTCTTCGTGATGTGGTTGACCGTTATCGGACCAAGTCAAAACAAGTGAATTGGAGCACTGAGCTCGCGTCGCCGCTAAAATGCGGATCATATTGGATAGTGACAATAGATCTACATCCATCCTCTATCAAAAGGCATTGTCGAGTGGAATTATTCAATCGATTGGTGCTCCACTTCAAAGGATTCCACTCGACTCGACAACGATCAACCACATCGCGAGTCTGACCGCCTTTGAACCATCGTTCTAATCAATCCGGCTCTGAAGAAGAATAAAGACGTCGAAACGTTGGCCGAATAAACATTTCTAAACTAACCTCGTGTCAGCTCAATAATCCAAGAAAGTATTAAATAAGCATGGTTATACGTTTCATTCATCATCTACTTTAGAAATTTCCTCGTTTCAAATCAACGGCAAGGTGCCGGTGACGCATTGGAAAATGTAACGTTCAGTGAGCCCTGGTTCGCTCTGTATTCCTTCCATCCCTCCAGAATCTTGAAATCGGTTGGTAGCCACCAGACTCTTGGGAAACGCTTCGTCTGATTCAGAAAGACGTTATTAATTGTGGTGGGAACTTGGGAGCGCCTTAGCTTAGCTTTTCCAAGAATCAGAGATAATCCACTCTTCAAGCACCAGACCACATTGATAAGAACAAAAATGTTTACGTAGTTGACGAATTCATACGCAGATCCAAAGATCTTCGTGGATAGCGCATTTGAGACAATGAACCGAATAAATAATTGCTAAGTACCGTAAAATATCTGACGTCTGGCCATAAGGATAAAGGAAAAATGCCAATAATTCATACAAGGCGCACCTGTTCGTGGTGACCGAGTTTTATCTTCTCGATGACAAACGCGACAATGAGCGCCCAAGCTTTGCGCACAGTCTCCGATCGACAACGTCGATCACCCCACTCCAACGTGCAGTCGATGAAGGTTTCAGCAACCATGTTCCATAACTTTCCTGATAATTTAGAAGATCATGGATAGACGAAAATATGCAGGTTTTAAAAAATTCTATTCACTAGATGAAAAGGGGCGGCATTGCACTGATTGTTCACCGCACGCAAATCATTACGCAAACTTACTGAAGTTTTTGTCACTTTTTTAAAATAGTGTCAAAATCCATAGATTTTAAGAAAAACAAGAAAAACATATTTTTGCCGTCCTTGACGTAATTTTTTCTCTCCTAATTGTTCATCTTGGTTGAAAACGCATCCAGATCATTTTTGTCGCGATTTTTCGTGGTTTTCACTTCGGCAGGACTTTTTGCTATCCAGAGCTAATCCTCTCTAATCTATGATCTTTTCTCATACTGAAAATCTATCGCATACCTGTAAGCTCACCCCGCAGTAATAAGGCATGTACTTTTCCGATACGTATCAGCTCACTGGTCATATTGTCGAGATTGTCGAGGCTGTCGACCACCTGTGAATGACAATCGGAATTCCAGAGCGCTACTTATGTTTATAGCCAGGTGCCAAAGCACTGTTATCAAATTTTAGATGTCTTGCATTTCCCTTTGTTTGCATAAGCCCTACTACTGCTTTCACAACGCATTTAAGTTGCTGGTTTGTGCAGTGTGCTTCAATGCTCATTAGTGGTCAGTGAGAAAGGTCTTCCCCACCACATGGTGGTCCTTCCGCAGGACCGTGCTACTCAGCCTCTGGTGCACATAATCGTTTCCACAAAGTCGAAACTGAACTCGCTCTGGACATCCAATAGAAGTGAACTTGGGGGTCCACATTGCGTTGATATCTGGGGTCTTGCGCTGATATCAGTTGTTTACATATGTTCCGTAGTAGAAATAGGAAATAAAAATAAACTCGTCATCACCGGTAACGAAAAGCGGGCACCTTGCGCCAGCATTGTCCTCAAACTTGATTCTGACGGAAAGTTTTGTTGTAGGTATGCTAGCAAGGATCTAACCTTGAATATTGTAAGATTCTACGGCTACGTCATCAGGTGGATATTTTTCATGCCATCTTCGATGCTTCCCGCGAACCTCGTATTCTTGTAGTATGTCAGCGTTCGTCCACACAGTGCGAAGTAGGTCTGGGAAGGTTTTGCTAGGAGATTCATAACTCACCGTATAGGTCGACTTGGCTGCTTTGGAATATCTCCAGATACTATAGAAAACGGTATAGATAAATAAAGAACCTGATCGATTAGTTCGCCGATAGCTTTACAATGAGCTTTCACAAACGAGTCATGGTGTTGAAATTTCGATGGAAGTTGTACTCGTCGGATTTGCTCCTTCACCTGAACAGGACCTATTCAATTAATAATCTCCTTATAGGAACAAGAAGCTGTTCTATATTGTGCACTTCTCAATAGGATAAAACTGTTTCCTAAGACAATCATCTACAACATGGGCGAACGTATTTGCGATTCGGAACCGAGTTTCCCATCATGGAACGCTGCTGCTCGCGGAAATCCTCATGCTGGGAAGCGACCACCATCATGGAGAAATATCATGAGAAAAATAAACGAATGAAAAGGGGCTGGGGTCATACTACTTGGCGAGATAAGATGTCAGAAAATCCCAGCAAATCGGAAATAACTCGAAAGACCGACTTTCTATAAACCTCGGCATAGATAGTTGATATATTTATTTATGTGATCTTACAAACTGATCTTCTTAAGCCGACGCGAGGTTGGTACAGATCTTCGTTGTCGTTGTCGTTGTTTTTGATGTTGTTGGTCGATGGCTGCCGTTTCGGCGACTTCGCCTTCCTCAGAGTCTGGACGTACTTTATGTTAGAATACTTTTTATTATTCGGTGGAAAAGAAGGTTAAAGTATTAATGAAGATCAAACTTTCAAATAGACTCCATATTGAACAGGAAGGCCACTCACCGTGATGTTACGTGCGGGACTGGCCCACACGAAGTTCACGTGGAGTCGCGAGCAAGACACGCCCCGGGGTCAAAATATCATTTTGAAATAGGGCGCCAGGTCACGCGTGATAATGAGGCATTCGTCCTTTCTGTTCATCTTTGGATTTTTGAAATTTATCCAAAACGCCTCAAGAGTTTTGCGCGTCGATGTTTTCGATTCCTGCGCTAGGATCCGCGCACTCACTTCAAAATCATCGCCGTTGCGTGCGGACACAAAGTGGTCTACCCGTTTCCCCGATATATTCCTCGCCGCCTGCATTACATGAGATCAAGTATATTATACCTAAACTCATGCAATCCCCGTCTCTCCCGTTAGGACAGATCATACAGTTTTCTGAGCTGCACAAACGATCATAGAGACGGTTGCGAACTAACTGACGGCGTAGGGTATTGGGTGGGATGTCAATAATCGTTACGTAATTTTCAAGACCACTTTTTCTTAAGCACTTTTTAATGGCGTGACTTACTTCATTTGATATGAAGGGCAGCTTAAAGGGAAACCTACTTTCGTCTGAAATATTATTTTGGGAAACTACCCAACGTTTCCCTCTAAACCGAGTGGCTTCTACTTCGTAGCCATTGGAAATGGCTATTTTTCGTGCCAGGTTTCGCGATTCCTCCCTTTCCTCTTCTCCTGTACACACATTTTTAGCCGTGCGATACATATTTTTGATAAGTGCTTTTTTAATGTGTGAAGGATGAGAAGAGAGGCAGTGAACTAGGATGTTTTTACTACTTGGCTTGCGATACCATTTTGTTATATGGCCACTTACTGAGAACTTGAATGTCTAAGAATGGAAGCCAGTTTTCGGTTAGTCTTCCTCGTGCAGATTTTATACACTTTATAGATTTTCCACCGAATAATAAAAAGTATTCTAACATAAAGTACGTCCAGACTCTGAGGAAGGCGAAGTCGCCGAAACGGCAGCCATCGACCAACAACATCAAAAACAACGACAACGACAACGAAGATCTGTACCAACCTCGCGTCGGCTTAAGAAGATCAGTTTGTAAGATCACATGAGTAAATAAATCAGAAATAAATATGAGAAAGAGTGAAGCATCTTGCCTTCCGATTTTCATGAAGTACGACTTCATTATTCATTTCTTCAAAAAATTTCCCACGGAAATACTATCAACTAATTGACAACTAAAACAAATGAGTGCTTGCGAACATCTCTTAACGAAATTATGTCCTTAAAGATGTGAAATTGTGCACACTGCAGACGAAGATAGATTGCGATGATGAACTTGACCATAGCTTACAGGAGAGTAGATTCAGTATCTGTTACACAGTTCACTAACTAAAGTTTTCATTTATCTATTTTTTATTTTATTTTATTTGACCCATCTTCACGTCTACTGTGCGGATGCCAGCACTTGTCATATTGGATTCGTTCCCTCGCATCCATCATTCACGAAGATCTTTCAACTTTTACGTGAGGTTTCGGTTGCTGCTAGATGATTTCCATCTCATATTGAATGTCGTAGAATGTTGGTCGAGTCAATTCTACCTGGTGTCCTGGGATTGCTGGGCTCAAGCGTTCCTTATTGGACTGCAGAGAACTATTTTCTCTCGACCAAGTCCGGTACCAATTTCCAGTCTCCGGAGGGAAGAGAGGCTTGGTTGGCCTGGAGCGGAATTGAACCACACTCGTGATGACGAATATCATTACCACTGTGCTATCCGCTCCCTAAATTTTCATTCATACATCCTGTAAATATAATACATTCATTGAGCAACTAATTCTCAGAACTACTACTTGCATGTGAGGACTTATCAGTTGTTATTACACAATCTGCATTGCGTAGTGTCTTGTTGGGTTTTTAGGAGAATTTTCCCCTGTTGAAGTTCGGCCTATCACTTGCCAACCGTGTGTTCACTATCGGTCGAGCGATATAATGGAATTGAAGGGATGCCTTATAAAAAAAAAAAGTCATTTGGCGCGAAAATAAAGGCCTCCGTTAACTTTAAACAAACATAGTTCGCAGTTAATGTTATTAATTGAGATGAAAATCACTGACTCTGTAGATCTTTGCCGATAAGGGACAAGTTCATCGCTATATCCCACGACGAAGTTCTGATTCGACAAGTTGTATTTCTTCCATTTTTTTGGGTCAAAACGCGCATTTCGAGTAAAAAAAAGCAGTTTGACAAGTGGGATCCGTCCAGTAGGAAATAATGGCTCTCATCGTTAAAGTTGTAATTCAAGATATGTCTTAATAAAAACATATCGGTGCTTAAAGTTATGGAGCCAGGCCTTTTTTATAAAACGTTTTCAACTCCTCCGTTATTCCACTATTGCAGAAATCAACGTCATTTGTCAAAAAGCCAGTTTTCTCGAGAATGTGTTAATGAGTAATATGCGATACTAGTGGGAATCCAAGCTTCTTCACTCGCTTCATCTCCCCTACGTAATTCTTCAGCACACTCTGAGTGAATCTTTGCCGTCGCACAAAATTCGAATCCATATTGAGATAGGTGAGCTACCGTCTATCTAACTGTGAGTAGGAATAAGCTAACTAGGGAGCAATGCATAGCATCTCCATCATGAAAGCATTTATCTCTAGTAATTCTTTATATTACCTCTGGACATTTGAAGCATAGCCGATGATACATGCTTGTTCCAATCACTGTCGGTCCTTTGCTGGTGTAGATTTGCCGCCACAGGGCGCGAACCAAATGAATCTGAGCCTGAGTGAGCGGAATCAGTGTCGTCGACGTGCGACGTCCAGACATTGACTGTAACAACTGAAATGCACAAAGCTTAAGCGCAATTTCTTCTACAGCATCACCATAGACATTCTTGAAACTTCGAGACCCAACAAAAAGTGATGCCGATATCATTTTCCTTTGAAAAATTATTGTTAGAAAAAGACATCGAAGGAGTGCTTGTGTTGGAACTGATACCTTTGAAAAAGTCAGTTACTATAAAAAAAATTTATAGGGAAAGGAAAAGAGTTTGAGAATTTGTTGAATAATTCACGTGTCTCGGCTTCAAGAAACCGTAATCAAGCGTTCGATGCTAGGACTCAAAATACGGTTGATAATGCACCAAAAAAGCCTAGAGTCACCGTACTTGGGAACATGACAACACCTGAGAGTGCGCGCTCGGTATTAGAATTGGGCCCAAGCTTCTCACCATCACAGCTCATTTCTAAAACAACCGTGCGTAGAATAGCATGCAACCTCTATGAGTTTCAAGGTCGACTCCGCTATCAGGCTAAAAAAAGGACATCAAATAGAGATGAAAACCAAGAGGCGGCGACACTACCACCATCTCCTTTCCCAAAAACGTTCTTTAGACAGCAGGACCCTAACGATGGAGTTGACATAAAATTCCGCGCGTTTTCGGACGGCGTTCTCAAGACTCTTGATCACTACCGCGATAGGAAGTTTATCTCCAACCTTACAGCCGCACAAAATGTTGTGGCATGCGGGAAATTAGAAAAATAATAAACTCGAAAACAATAACATTGTCTGTTAGCGATAAGGGGGAGAGCTCGTAGTTATTCCTCGCCAACTAGATGTTAAGATAACTGAGGAGCATCTAAGTAATGTCACCCTTTGTCGCCTACCATCTGAAAGGAAATGCAAAAGTCAATACCGTAAATTAAACGATCAGTAGGTCAAAATGGCAAGGGCGACAGGCTAAAATCATCGGTTATCTAGTACTTTAAAGTCAATAGACCAACACCCCCCGATTTACACTTACTTATTAAAACACATAAGTTGGTATCATCTGATGATCTTGCGTCAACCAATCCGTCATCGTTTAAGGTTAGACCCATCATCAGTTGTGCAGACGGGCCGAGGGATAGGATAACCTGATTTCTAAGCTTAATACTAACTCAGTTGTTTAAACATATTCCAACTCATCTCACGAACACCCAGAACGCTTACGTAACGCGTCTCCTAATAACGCGTACGTGATGGAGTCCTTCGACGTTACCGCGCTGTACATCAAGGTATCATATGGCTCCGCAATGCAAGCCATCTTTGAACTTCTTGTTGAACATAAAGGGAGAATAAATAACCATCGCTTGTCCATCCAGCAGCTAATGGCTCTCTTAAAGGAGTGCTTAAACTGCTCGATTTTTAAGTGGTTTGCGAAGTGTTTCGGGCAAATAAGGGAGTTGGCAATGGGACAGCGACTGGCACCAAGCCTTGCTATTGCGTTTATGTTTAAAGTAGAAGCTCCCGTTCTTAGACTCCGGCCGCTACTCTACTACAGGTACATAGATGATTGTTTTGTTATTTTCTCTACGCAAGAGGAGATGGACAAATGCTTTGAATTGATGAACGGGCGGCGTGAGCAGATTAAGTTCACCCGGGGAAAACCGAAGGAAAACTGGCTTCCGTTTCTAAACGTTCAAACAAACCTATCAAGTAGCCGTTACATGACAAAGTGGTACCGAAAACGAACTAACAAAAACATCCTTGTTCATTTCCTCTCTTCCTACCCTTCACATGGAAACAGCGCGCTTGTGAAAAACGCCTTTCGAACCGCCACCTCTGTGTGAACAACCAGGAAACTAAAGGAAGAATCGAGCGACTTAGCTCAGCAAATAGCCACCTCCAATGGCTACGAAATAGTAACCCCACGAGATAAGTTTACAAGGACAGCGACGTCCCAAAACGAACGGTTTAGCCGGAACAAAATCCCGTTTATCTTGCCCTTTATTAGCGATGAAATAAGTATAGCGATAAAGCGATGCTTAACAAAGGCAGATCTAAAGAAATCGGTAGCAATAATTGAAATACCATCGAATACTCTTCGTCGCCAGTTAGTTCGTAACCGCCTATACGACCGCCTATGCGAAACACAGAATTGCGTAATTTGCCCTTATGGCAGGAACGGTGACTGCATGAGTTCAGTTACGATATACCTGATTTCTTGTGGTACTTGCGGAGACGAATATATTGGCGAAATCCGCATAAAAGAACACCTAGATGGCAAACGAAAAGCAAAACAAACCACCCACTAGGGACGCATAAGATACAAAAGCATAGCGAAGACGATTTTGATATAAAAGTCACCATCCTCGCACGGGATTCTAAAACACCAACGCGCAAACTCCTCGAGGCTTTTTGGATAAATGCCAAAAATCCTACGATGAATAGCAGCGAGGAATGCCCCGAGATCTTGCGTGATCTCGCTCCGTACCTTCAGATCGACCGTTGATGTGGGGAGGTGCAGTCATCAACCATATGCGACTCTGAGCGGATGTTCTTCCTCGGTGGAAGACGGGTGAAAGAAATCTCTATGCGTTAATGAAGCGCTCGACCTAGTTAGTTGCGTATTAGTGTACTCTTCCAGACTCTGAAGAAGGAGATTCTGCCGAAACGTCAGCTACGGTTGTGTTGTATGTGTGTCATTGTATGGAAGTAAACGTATGCTGATTAACAACCTCGCGATTGCTGAGAGAGAAAACTAGGAATTCAGGAAAATTTATGCTATTCTAACCATTTAGACGATAAATTTCAAATTTTTGATGTAGATGATTTCCGTAGTAAATCAAAGAGAATTTCATCAATCGTTTTTAGCGTCAAACTAACAAAACCGTAATAACTCAAGAAATTCCACCAGCATTGGAAATTTTGTCCCTTTCAATATGGAAGTTATTACACGGTCTCTAAATTTGAAGAAATTTCCATTAGTATTTTATATTAAACGAAAGGTCCGGCTTATTACAACGATATCCATTGGTCACTCGATCGTAAGAGGCGCTGCGGTTCTGAACTTACAATCGCTACTGACAGAAAACCTCTTTCCGATTTAGAAAAGTCATCGACCACATTCAGCGAAGATCCAGGAACGAAGAGCCAGCATGGCAACTCCGGGATTCCAGGGAAATCATGCTTGACTGGAATTGTACATGTCTATGAGGAGAGTAGACAAAAGATCCTCAACTCGTATTCGAGCCCAACTCCGATCGCATTAATTGAGGGTCAAGAGACAATAAAACGAATGGAGGAAGTGCTTGGACCAGATGACACGTCAGAATAAACCATCTAAGCATTTGAGCAGATGTCATTGTAAATGACAAAATACTGTATCAGATGTTTCAAGTATGTCTCAAAGTACACTCAAAGGGTTACCGCCTCATCGGAACTGTGGATATCAGTGGGGGTGGAAGTGAGACATACGACGGGTTTGTATCAATTGTTCAGTGGAATACAGCTCTTCGAGTCGGTCCTCGGTACCAAATAATCGCTATTTTGAAATAAGACGTTCGACCTCCTACGAATTTGCCACCCGGCAATTTTCGTCGTTGCTACAGAGCAAAATCTTAAGCTTAGATTATAAGCGTTTAGAGCAGTATTAGCAACGCAATATTAACGACGTGACTATATCCGGAAGGATAAGGAACAGAAATGTCAAGACGGAGATGGAGCCTGTACTAGCACTAGTTGAGCAAACTAAGCGAGGTAGTGGGCTGTTTCGACAGAAGGAATTAGAAGTAATGTTCAAAAGGAGATTCTAAAAATTTCTCAAAAAGAAGAAAATCAGTCTTAAAGACTGCCTCCAAAGCATGACACGGCACTTACGGAGAAGTATATCCCATACGACGGCTTACGAGAAACTTCGTTAACGTAAAAGTTCATTGGATACTAATGGAATAGCTTGCACAGAAAGTAAATTTGATGGTGGAACGACAAATGCGGGAAAGTGTATGCAGCTGACAACTGGTCACTGAATGGCCGAGAAAACAAGAGTTTTTCTGAAATAGTTACTATAGGACTATTCATCCCCCGTTAAGGTCTACCAAGCACAGAACGAGTTCTATTTTCTAGCCGGAAGCCCGGATAACAACAAATAACTGTCAGGAGTCATTGCTACTCTGGCACTAGCACAGTCACCATCCAGCGAGGATTAACGATCTGGAAAATCCATGAAGCAGATATCCAGATTCCAGGGGAAGAAAATATTGCCTAATCGCCAGATCATTAGTTAACTGCGAAGTGTGTTCCGGTCCGCAAGATTCTTGATGATTCGAGGAGATTTATGTAAGTAAGCGTATGTAAGAGTTTTTTTTTATAACTGTTTGGTTCTCGGAAGATATGGAACGCTATAAGAATCGTTGCAAAACCTTTTGGTGAAGAACTAAATAGGAATAATGGACGTTAATGAGATGATGGAAGAGCACCTCCTATTACTTCTCGTTATTAGCGATTGTTTTTAACAGAAAAATGGACGAGTAGAACTTAAATGGAAGAAAATGCCACACGAAAACAGCATAAAAGGAAGGGTTAGATTAGTGAGGAAGTTCAGACCCCACCTCCATCACCACTAAGGAATTGCTCAAGATGAGAAGGAAATTGAATACGTAGAATTCTTCGCCCGCATTCAGAGACAACTAAAGAGATTTCATTCACTACCTCAACTTAATGAGGAGCTATCTGTCTCTGCTTAATCCGACAGCAATACATGGTTCAAACCTGCAAATGACGCACGTTGTGCGACGTCGGAAGAAACATCGTTCTGACCTGAACTTGACTTTGACGTCGCTGAGCAAGCAGGGATTGTCTCGAGCGCTCGCTGGGCGAGTTTCTTCGCGGTGACGACGAGCCCGCCCCGTCCGACTCATCCAACGACAACGCCTGTAACACTGCTATCACTTAAACAAAGGAAAATTACCAAACAAATTGATAAGATTGAAGAAGAGTTGGTTTTTATCGTCTCCATTGTTCTAAAAGCAGAAAACATTATATTTATGTGGTATTTTACTAGCCAA